TTTATAGATAGGTGAGTTAGGAGAGTAGAAGATGATGCTTAACATGGTAAAGCCCCTCCATCATCGCACAAGCCAAAATGCACTCCTACTAGGCAGTGCTAGTAGGCAAGGGGGCAGCAGGGGAACAGACATGTAGGTCTTGAGCCTTCCCTGTAAGGCTGCGACAGATGTATCTTCTCCATGCTTGCCAAGATCTTTACCATGAATACATATACTTCACTGTTTCCCTTCTGACCTTTTAATCAATGGATTTATTTAGATCTTCATTATTCCCCAGCTGTCCACACAAGCTTTAACTTTTATTTCTTAAGAGATATTTAACAGAAAACATGCATAAATCAGCCACTCCTGCATTAATACATTGATAAAAACAACAGTTTAAGCTATTTTTATATCATTATGAATTCTCCTTGTTGAACTTTTATATTTCTCATTGTTTTCCCTTTCTCCTGCCACATTTATCTTTAAAATGCCATTTAAGGGCATTAACTTTGTTTCAAGTATAGAGTGCTACAACTATGAAAAACTGGAGATAAACTGTGCCCAAACAACTCAGCTGCAAGCTTGCAAGTTTCTCAACAGCTGCATGCAAAGTAACAGCTAGGCATTAAGGGTCCTGTAATTGTTTAGGATCTTTTGGGGAATATTCCAGCAATTCTCTTCCATGGCAGGATCTATTCCACTTCTCTAACTCCACTGAAGTGGTTCAGAGCTCTACGTTGTGGGGTAGGGCCTTTCTAATCTTCCAGAACAAAGGGGCCCAGCACAAACTGTGCTGCTTGTTCCCCTCACAGATCCCACGCAAATACATTGACCAAAACCCAACTCTTTTTCCAGACAGTACCCCGTCTAAAAGATACTGCTTTACAAACTGAGATATTTATTGCTGTAATATCCAAGTACCACAGAGACAGATACAAGACTTGCACTGTATTCCAAGCAGATGAATCTTAGAGCATTTACAAAGCTGTGGTGCAATAAGCCCACACATTGCTCCTCACCCTTATGCAGCTTCAACCTATTCTTTCTCCTATCTGATTCATACAGGAGAGGTCCTAGGAAAGGAGCTTTGGCAAAGCAGAGAGGACTAGACAGCAGGGAGAAACAGAGCCCAACCCTCCAGGTAACCAGCCCTCAATACAGCAGCTTGTCTCAGGGATCCCAGCATGGCCACTGAGTATTTACAAAGCTACTCCAGCTTTGCTTCAAGCCTCAGAATGAAGGGAAAGCAGAGGAGCAGAAGAATGATGGAAGCAAAAAAACAAATATAGAAAGGATTAATTTGCTGTATCAATGTAGCATGATATATATCCTGTCATGTCACAGATGTATTTTTTCTTATAGTTATTCTAAAGGTCAGCGTGGTAATTTTTTCAGCTCTCACATTTCACCTGTTATTGGTGGCACTGTAATGTCTAGGTCTGATGAGAAAATCTATACTGCACTGTATAAGCATCTGACATAGCTTAGCAAGTAAAACTGAATAGCAAAAGGTCTTCTGTGTTCCTGTAGGCTGCACATGGGGAGGATGTTGCCTGCTGGCATAGCCTATCACTCTGCACATTGGCATGTTCCTTCTCAGGAAATGCATGGAAAAGCTTAACTTTTTCAGAGCTGGAGGAAGGACACTGAGGGACTAACAGCAATTTGGTCTGTATTTTTACAGCATCATGGCTCATGCTATCATGTAGAATCACCAGACAGATAAAACACCCTGGCTTGAAGAACTTTAAAAACATGATCAGTGATGGAGAATTTTATAAGGCATATTAACTTATTAAAATTCTTTTAAGTATCACAGCGTTGCCAAAGGACTGTTTAGATTCTCTCAAGCAACACTTCAAATTCTAAACTTTGGATGGCAGATCTCTATATCTAGAACAGCACTGGCATACCCACAAAACATGTTAATAGAGAAAAAAAAAAAAAAAAAAAAGAATGAAGGAACATAGCATTTATAGAACTCCACAAGGAAAAGTAAATACTTTACCTGTTTCCTCAGTTTGACTCAAGTAGCTACAATCACATGGATATCTTCAAATAACAATGTAAAAAAGCTGTCCTGCAGTGTTCTGGGACACTCTGAAAGTGGTAGTGTGGCTGAGTCTCACTTATTTAGACTGATGCCTTGAGAACAGCATTAGAAAACTCTTTCAAGTACCTCATTGTTTTGAAAAAGAACTACAAAAATGTCAATGTTTTAACTCAGATTTTATCAGCTCTGAAAATACTGACTCAACTATTGATCTTTTAGCCTGAGCTATTCTAAGGGAAGGTATGAAAAACCCATCCGGATTGATTTAGCTTTGGTCTCCAAAAACAAGTACCATATCTGTATACATAATGATACATTTAGGATTACATTATAAAAGGCTACATATTTGAAAAACTGCTATAAAAAAATTTATATAAATACTGCTGATGCACTAGGTGCATTAAAGATCACTAAACCAGCACTGTTTACTTGAACTAAAAAAAGGTGTTTACTAAAGTAATACTTAGGATTTTTACAATTAGAAGTCTAAAGAAAACTTTCAAGTGCTCTGACAAGACCAGCTTCATTAACTACTTGCTAGGTATCACTAGATATACAGCTCCAGATCAAACGCTTCTCTCTGGTGATGGTGTATTTTAGAACCAAAACCATCAGTAATCATGATATCTTTCTCAACATAAAACTAGCATGACTTCTTAAATTATTACAGATCCAAAATAAGCCCTAAAACCACAGCATTACACTGCCACACCATGGCACAATAAAGATCTGCAAGTAAGAATAGAACACAGAGACAATAAAAATAACTCCTCTACTTTAATATTTAGGACTACAGTATCTACCATTAGTTTTGTTTCCCTACTACATTTGTAAAGTACTAAAAAGAAACTGTTGTGTCTTGTTCAGCAACAGCTATCTAGGTACATTATGCTTGAGGATTTTATTTTTGTAATTTTTTTTTTTTCAAAAATGAAAAAAGAAGTTTACTTTCTCCAAGTGTTAAAATCCTCAAAGACTAGTTTGATATGCTTGTTGCACAGATGGGATATGTAAGGAAGTGGAATACTAAGGGCATTTCTTTACTTTATTGACTACAAAATATAAAGCTTTTTGTTCTCTGCATTACAATGTGATCTGAAAGGCTTTCAGTTGACAGTCAGTCACAGAAAAGAAAGGTTCAAAAGACCTTCTCCAAGGTTTGGGGTTTTTTTTAACTATTTGAGGTAATGCTACAGAATGTTAGAATCTACATTATTTCTTTATGTCAGAATAGAACTAAAATGCAGACCTAGAAATATTTCAAAATACTTAGTATTTCCACATTTTTTACTAAGTTTTGTGAGAACTTAAAAAAAATAAATCAACCAAACAAAAAAAACCCAACTTATTTTTGCTAACCTTGAAGCACAGCAACCCAAGAGGCTGAAATTTCACATCTAACTTTTTAATTACAGCAGTTCACTGTACAAAACATACATTATTTTAATTACTTTGCTATTTATATAATTTATACCTTCCATAGCATTTGTTTTGCAAGAAAGCTATAAATCAGTTTGGTTATGACCATTACTAGTACTGCTTTAGTCATTCTAACATTCCATTTTTAAGTGTTTTTCTAATAAATCAAACATTATAAATAAGCAATTGCTAAGGCCAAGACCATACCAATTATTTTACCTGCAAGAACTTGCCATTATAAACATTTCCCACAAGGCATAATAAAATGCATGTCTGGTGACACAAGACTTACAGGAATATCCTGTACTGAAGCATTAAATAAAGATTAGATGACTAGCTGAGGTTCCATTTGTTCCACCCCTTTCTTAATTGCTATTGTCACCACTTCAGTTTACAAAAAATGGCATAGCCTAGGTGCGTGCCAGTGCTTTCCTGCTAAGATGATTTATTCAAGTCTTTAAAGTACCAAATTAAGTATCTTCCATCTCTAAACACTTTCAGTCAGAGACTGCTCAAGCCATCAATGAACAAGGATTCTCTTTTGTACGTTACCTGCCTCTAAGCCACACACACATGCATATGCAGATGCACACTTTAATACAATTTCTGTTATTAGGTCTCTGCTTTCAATTATCACAGAATTTCTGAAAATTTTTTTTACTGTCTTTAGTCAAAGCACAGCCACCACATTATACCTGGGATCCTAATGCTTCCTAATAGTCAAGATTTATAAACAGCAAACTCTGAAAATTATAGTGTTTTAACAAAATTGGCTCTAGAGCCAATGTGAGGTTCTTGTGAGCATTCCTGAGTGACTGGGACAGGATCAGTCCAACTAAATTCTATACTTGCACCTGGTAGCAAATCTGCAGACTATCACCTAGGACTTGAGATTTTTGGAAGCCTTTTGGGAGGGGAGGAGTATAGCAAACTTGAGTGACACTGAATGAATACTACTTCTGGAGGGAGCATTCTTAGCAGTTTTAGTGTTTAGCAGTTCCCAAGAGTCATGCTGAACTGCATGAGGAACTTAAAAGCAAATTCCAAATTTGCAACCCTGCCCCAAAATTCAACAACAGCCAGTTTTGAAAATGTTGGTCTTTAACTGCACCCAAAAATTTAGCAGCAGATACTACAGCATTTCTGTTACTCTGTACTTTTTAGTTGAAAAAACCCACAATTTTTCCCTTCCTTGTCTGACAGCAGACATAGCTTCTTCCATTACTCATTCAGGCATCACAGCTAAGTATTTTAAATTAGATAACCTTCTTTAAAAATATATATTATTTAAATTGTAAAGATTTAGGCTGAAGTTGAATAGACTGCTGAAAAATGTTGTGTCTTACTCATGTATCTTTCCTTACAGCCCACTCTGTGAAGGATACTGTATTCCATATCAGATTAATTGGAGTTCTGTCACACAGAAAAGATAAGTTACAATAAATGGCATCCTTAGTGCTGCTGAATTATATCTTCCCCAGAAGAATCAAAACCATGCTTCACTGTCATTCATCAGGCATTTCCATCCAAGAAACTACAAGAAACTTCATACCTTCCTGAACTTTTCCATCTGCTTATAGAGATCTGGATCCAGCTCCTGAGACACATCTTTCATCCAGAGTAGAGCTCCTCTGTATTCAGTCCGATACTGTTCCATTCGGTTTACTGTCAGCCACGTGTCTGAGATGGCCCTATATCTGAAAGTCTCCACTTCTTGATATAATCTACTCAAAGGAGTACGCAGTGCTAATCTGGGGAAAGGCATGAAGGAAAGAAATGAAGGAAGGAAATTAACAAGTTAAGTTGTTTCACAAAGGTAGATGGATTAATAGAACTACTGACACTTTACTAGCAATCAAAAAAAACATACAGAGCCAAAACAGTTCACCTAAGTTCTGCATGTTCAGAGTTCTACAGCTGGGCTGGGGGTACACAAGAATAGGGTAATTTTGCAGGAATATTGTGTTTGCAACCTTCCTATTCAAGTAGTGACCTTTCACTTACACGTGTGAGTGGAAAAGGAACCTTTTCTAATGCATATATGTATTTTAGGTAGCCAAGCAGGGTTGTATGTATGCTATTAAGATTCCTCTTCCAAAGTTGCATTTAACAACTCTAAAAATGTACCTGAGGTAATTTATTACTGGATACATAGCACAGATGTATCAGGATTGTCAGAAAAAGCACTTCCATTAGCCTTTTAATCTTCATGTGTACATGTAAATAAATAAGTCATCTGTCAAGTAGATAATGATCTAATTCCCCTCCACCCTCCCCTCCCCCCCTTTTTTTTTTAAGGAATTCAAACAATTCCTTTGAAGGACATTTTTCTTCTGGAAGGATTTGGGCATTTTCTTAAATGTTTCCTCCAGCAACTACACTTTTGAAAGGCATTAGGGGACACTGTTGTCTCCCTGTGCCATCACTTCAATTTCTAATGGGATCTCAGAAGTAGATAGAATTACTCCAACTTTTGCTTTGCTTCCTCCTGCTGCTTTTGCTTTCCTCTTGGTTGCCAACAGCCACCTCCCTGGAATGGGTTCAATCAGTTCCACACCAGTTCAAAGTTAGTTTAATGTGCTACTTAGGGACTTCCTAGACATTTGAGAATTTCCGATTTCAGCTCCAGTAACTAGCGAATTGTGTTGTCTTGATCTCCAGCTACTGAGCTAACTATTGTTATGCAATGTAAATAAGAGCAGTCCCAACTTCAACATGAGCTTGAGGATGGCTCAAGAGAAGACAGGCAAACAATTAGTTTTATTTTTGTATGAGTTTATTTAAAAAGATGCCTTAAAATGCACTGAGTAAGAGACATAATAAAATATGTACTTCTTAGTGTGGCTTTTTTTCCCCTCATTCTACAAATACTTACCCAACCATTCAAAGGAAAATTCAGTTTATGCAGATATGTAATAAAGTGGGATTTCTATAAACAGTTAAGCTTTACAAAGAAACAAATCATCAGGACTTTTGCTCCAAGGTGCCTTACATGTGTTTTAAAGATCCCACTCGTGGCTGTTACTGGACATGCTAATCACCAAACTCTAGTCCAAGATAAACATATGAAATTCTCAGTGCTCTGTATGCAACGTTTTATTTTGAGCCAAACAGCTGCACTGTTAAGCTAAAGCTGGAAAGTACCACAGTACTTAAGAGCCCCCCCAAAAATCATGCAAAATACAATGGAACAAAGTTTTCCCTTGTGAAAGATGGTGAATTTCGAATTTTCATAGTCCCAATACTGTTAAAAAAGAAGCATAATAATATTCATAATGCCATCGAGTACTGTTACTTTTAAACTCTCTGAGCAAACACAGGGTCAGTGAGACATCAAGGGCTCTGGGTAACAGCATGTGTTTGCGTGTCCCTCTGTATTCCTTACCTTTTACTGATTTACTCCTACCCAACCCACATGAGCTCAGTGGAAATCTAGGATCTTCTCCTGGAGGACTTCACAGTTAAAGCAGCAAATTGTATTCAGACTCCTTTCTCCTCTGTCTACTTGAGGTATGAGGCTCCATGGCCCAGAAAAACACATTCCTTTACCCATTTACCTGCCCTCCCAGGACTCAGAAACCTCCACAACAGGCCTGCTGTAGCATTTCTCTGCAGAGTGAGAAGTGCCACCAAGCAGGAGAAGGACCCAACATCACCTCTTTTACAACTCTGCTGCTAGAGAGGCTTTGCAGATGCACCTGTACAGCTTTAGAACTGCTGAGCAGGAACAGAGGAACAGGTAGTGGATCTGCAGATACACAGACTAGCAGGTCCACAGAACAAAAAACAAGGATCAGGCAAAACTACACAGAGCAAGCCAGTAATATTGCCAATACTACAGCAGTTTTGGTCAATAATAGCTTTCCTATCATTTGGTTCCTCACACATTTCAAACGGCAAAATGAATTATGTCAACAGTGAATCAACTACCATTATCCCACGTACTTTATAAATCAGATGGTAATTCTGACAGATATACCTTTGCTGAGAAGAAAAGCAGAGGGCCTTTCCTGTGGCTTGCATCATTTTTCCTGCTCTTGTTTTATCCTGAGAACCCTGTGATCGAAGAAATTTTCCCAATTCATTTTCTTCCTGAGACAGAACTAACAAAAAATAAATGAGTGGTCAAACACATTATTTAATAGATCTCTATCAGCTTTAAAACTGGCCTAACATCAAATAGGTTAAGTCACTCCAAATCCAAGCAGTGCAGGAAAAAAAAATTAAAAATCGTGGAATTTCTTCATTTATTAAACAGAAGATGTGATTCACTTCAGACATTTGTTGATGGGTTTGCCGTACTTAACAAGAATCACAAAATTTCATCAGTGCCAAAAGACAACAGGAGAAACATGCTCTTTCTTTCTTGAACAAAAGAATTAGGTTGGTGTCGTAGTTTAACTCCAGCACCACACATTCTACACAATTCAAACCCTATTTTTTAATTTATATTTCAAATATCTGAAATATTTCTATTTCAAAATAACTCTTTGTTCTTTTAAACAAGATGAATAAAAATAAGTGTTTTTACACTGACTTGTTGACTAGTTCCAAATTGGGACCAGGGGTTTTCACAATCTCACATCCTTACAAAAACATTTCATTATGACCTAATCTACTACTCTTCCAAAGTGGCTGTCTCCTATAGGACCTATTTCTTCCCACTACCAATAGGGAGAATGGTCTAATATAGTGAAAGAAGATCTTTTGAAGTCTTCTTGTTTTTTGAAACGTTGACAATCAAATCTATAGTGTGCTGCATGCACATCTTTGCATCAGAGATTTCACCTGCTACTGTGCAACAGTTCTTGAACTCAATATACCACTCTTCCATATTCTAATTTTATCTCCATATCCTCAAACATTATCTCTAACTCTCTTTTGACAGGCAAAAAAAAAAAAAAAGGAATGACTGGAGAAAATACACCTAACATTCAACAAAACAAAGTAAATTAAAAGATGTGTCCAAAGCTGGGTTCTCTTTCCCAGGCCAGAAATCAGAGCCGCAGAGAATCAAAGAATATTGATTGGAGAGAAGCCTTAGGGGTCATTTAATACAACCTGCTGTTCGAAACTTCCCAAATGAGGTTCCTGTCTCTCACTAATGACTACCACTAATTGCTGTACACCTGTTACAGCCAAGTTAGCATTATGAAATTAATCGTAATAACATGGATTACCTAATTAGAAAACTAACAATAAGCCCAGTATTCTTCATAGTCACTCCTGATAAAAAAATAAAACAGTTCAGAATGGAGTTTGGATTTCTAAGACAAGACAATTCTGAATTTAGATAGGCCAAGTAAGTAATGGAAAAAAACCACCCCAACCTTAAAAAAGCAAACTTTCTCCCATATTTATTGCTATCTATCACTATATGTCATCAAATATAAAAAGCTTAAGAACTAGAAGACCTTCAAGCAAAATAAGCAAGTCTGCCTTTAGCTGTCTGCAAGGCATGTTATCTTTGTTTTTAACTAGGATGAAATTAGTAGCTCCCCATTTTCATATTTACTTTTCCACTTATTTGATGATTCCATATTGCAGACTCTCTTATTTTAACTACTGTACTTGATCATACTTACAACAAATCCTTTTTTGATACAGTTCAATCACTTTCAGCAACTCCATACATGTTCTCTGAATAGAATGGAACAGCTGATATTGAAATAGAATACACAAAAAAAATAATAAGTGTATGCAAGAAACACTGATGATTAAAATACAAGAAAGAGCTTAATTTTTTGTAGAAATTATTAAGGATTGCTATTTTCTTCTTGAACAATGAGTAATTTTTCCAGCTTGAAAGTAGTTTTTCCCTTATCCATTGTGCTTTTCTTCCAGTTAAGCTGTCCACTGAAACTACAGGCAAACCAATCACAACATACAAAAGAAAAATAAAGACAAAAATATTCTTAAATGTTAACCAAACTACTAACTATTTTTTTCTTATTGATATCTTTGGATACATATGAAGATGTACAAATCTTTATTTCTAAAAAACCCACACCAGAGCAAAAACTTACCAAAATGTCTAGCATGTTTATCATGTGTTAAGTGGTAATATGCATACTGAATTTTAATACCATAAAGTGTAGTGGAATAAACTGGCATATGTATGTCAACATAAAGTTATTGATTTAAACTGGACTTTTTAGTGGCATAGCTCTGGTTTTCTAACCAAATTTATAAAACAGCAGTTTCCAAAGGAAGTGGTGGGGGGTGGGGTGTGTGTGGAAAAAGTCAGTCTTACTAAGTTTGGAGGCTGTTTCTTGGAAACAGAAAAAATTCTACTCTTTCTGCCCCTCTATCTAAAACCTCCACTCTTTAACTTAAACCTAAACTCCACTGTATCAAGCATTAGACAAATATAAGCAAAATGGACTACCGGCACAGTAACTGTCTTCCTTCGCATCTGCCTGACTTCCTGTACATTTGCATGGGTCTTGTCTTTTAAACTGAGAGCATGACTTGCAGTTGAGAGGTTGTCCAAGTGAAAACATGCTTGTACTTTTCTATATGGTAAACACAAGTTTCCCTATGTTCAATCCCACCTGAGCTAACAAAGCATTCTTCTTGATGAATCTGCAACTCTGTAAGCATGGTAGGAACTCAGGTATATATTTATAAAATATTGTTTCCATCCTTCCAGCTTGTTTTACATCCTTCCTCTTGATTTATAACCTATCACAAAGATCCCAAAGCTAGAATCATCACATTATAAGTTATCACTGTTATACCTAGAACCACAAAGATTTGTTTGTTGTAAAACAGCTTCCTGTATTTCAGCTAAAACACAAATAAACTGAGAATCCTAGCTCAACAATTTTCTAAGACACTGAAGAAAAACAGTAAGGCAAAACATTTACCCTTACATAACAAAACAATATGGATAAACCTTAGTTGGACACTAACTTGGTTACTACGCTTTAGAATTCCATTCTGTCTTTTGCTTTGTGTCAAAGGTGCTCAAGCTCTTCAATCTGTAGAACCTTAATTTTTTTCCAGTGGGGCTGAGGATACTGACAGCAGGACTGTATTTGTCACACAGCAGGATTCCTTCTCTCAGTTACACTTTACAGACTTTCAGAAGCTGCCTTTGGTCATGTCAAAAACCACTAATCTGCACAAAAGCTCCAGAGAGGAGAGTGCACTATGCACCTTGCTCCTTCTTAGTATATTTCATGGTTTTCTAGTATATGTGATACTTCATAACTGTAGAAAATAATTTCATTTGTATATACTGTAGACTACTACTTAAAAAAATATTTTAAACCAGTATTAGCAAAGGATAAGGATGACTGATATAAGCACAAAGGATGATCTCCTGCTCCCTTCATAAAACAAAAAAAAGAAGGAAAAAAAAAAAAAAAAGGAAGAAAATCTGCTCCCCATACTTGAAAATAGATAGGAGAGGTGTTAGGTTCCCAATGAAGTTTGAGGGACATGGGTTTTTGTATTACAGAATGCTGCCATACTCCTCATATTTACATAGGTACTTCTGTTAAAACATGGAAAGCATATTACAAGAAAATAATGATTAAAAAATATATATACATTATTATATAGTATCTTATGTGTACACATTTGAGAGGCTTGATGGAAATGAAAACTAAAGATTAACAAACAAAGAATACACATTATGTAGATATTACAAACCTCTAGTTTTGCATCCAGATCTGCATCTGAAGCCACAACATGTTCATCTTCCTTTTTGCCCGTGACTTTTATAAGGGTTTGTTTTGTTTTCCAGTATTTCTGTTGCATTTTATTGACCACAGATTTTTCTTGGCTTTGAGCATATTGGTCATAAAATTCTCTTGGATAATTGCTAAAATATTGAGAAACAAAATCATAAAACTTCAATAGGATGCTTAAAATTAAGTCCGACAAGCTAGATTAACACACTTCCATCAGGAACACTGTCTATGCATGCAGACACATGTATTCTAACATGCATTTCCTTATTAGGCAATAATAACAAAGCAATTAAAAATAACACTGTATTTCCACAAATATTTCTCAAATTTTACTTTGGAAAACAATACCCTGCTTTCAATTTGAACGTCTTTAGCATGTAGTATTGACAAATAATCAGCTGCAAATTCTTTCCAATGCATTATGGAATGATTTATAGCCCATGGAATATACTTTTTATATAACTAATAAGAGAATTTCAAATGAACTAGCAGAGTTGCTTAAGCAGATAGCAATTTTCATGCAATTTCAGCAGTGTCAGGATTTCACAAAGTTCATTTTATGAATGGAATTGGACTACTTTTCTTTTTACAATTTAATAATAAAGAATCAGAAGAACACTCATCTCTCCTGAGCATGTTATCTGCAAGACAAATAGCTCACGTCTTTTTTATGCAAAGACTACATGAAAGCTGCAAGTACATAACAGGTATCTTTTTTTCAAGGATTATTTTCTACTGACAGATAGATCTGTATTCCTCTGGCAGACCTAATAAAAAGTGCAATCTAAAGAGAAACTCTGTATTCCACAACATTTAAACCATATGAACATGGTTTAATAGAAATTATAGTCTCACAATGAAATCTTGATCTTTTTTAGGAAGTAATTCCATTATTAATTTTTTCAAAAGTACATGCCTTTTCCCCTATTTGCATATATAAAAAGCTGCAGTGATTTTGCAGATCTTTAGAAGTAAACTGTTGCTAAAACTTGCTATATTAAATACTCTGGGAAATTAATAATTAAATAGATTAAATAATCTAGGAAAATTAAAGACCTTGAGTTTATTTTGAAAAAAAGACACCTTCCATCTGTGAAGTGAGAAACTGTGGTTCATTACTGAGATACTGCCCACTAGCTCTGTTCACAACGTACGCATAGCTCAGGGTTGTCACCCCGGGGGGGTCTTCAGATCCAACATAAACATCAAGTCATGTACTCAGACATACAGAGAGACACACCTGCTATGAAATACTACGGCCATTCTGAAACAACAAGCCACTGGTACACATTGGTGTTCCCCAAAAGGGTGGCACATCTGCCCTAAATAGTTACTAGTGACACAGTTTAACCTGAAAAGGAAGTTTGTTTCATAGGAATTTGTTACTTGCTTTAGTTATTTTTAATCAGTGACTTAAGATCTTAAGTGCTTTAATCACCAAAGAAATGGTAATAAATTAAACTGCAAGTGTGCAAGGACAAAATTCAAAAAGCACTTATACACAGCACGTCATGGCTTCTTCCACAAACATTACAAGCAAAGATATTCACTCACTTAATTCTACCGAAAGATTAGTTCAAAGAGTTTAATTTATGAATTTCATTAAAATTAAAATAAAGGCCTTTTCAGTGCAACAGTACAAAATAAACAACAGATGCAAAATATACCACATTGCATGTAGAATTCTGCACAAAGAAACCATTATGCACTCTGACAACAGACAGCCTATCAGGTTAAGTGAAGTCTATATTAACTTGATATTTGCTGCACCTTTAAAAGACAAAATCCACAACCTCTAATAAATAACAAGAAGATCCTCCTCCATTATGAGAAAACAGACTATGAGAGCTTAATAAAAACAGCATTACTTTAAAAATAATAATAATTAAAAAAAAAAAAAATCAAATAGTTCATAAAGACCCTAGCTGTCTGGCTAGTTGTGTGCTTTAGCTTCTGCTACAGCTGAGCAAATAACTGATATCTCAGTTCAGTGGTCAAGTGAAGAAAACACCATAATTCACCTGATGTCAACCACACTTCATATCAACCTCACTTGAGGTCACTAGAAATTCTGGGCATATGGTGCAAGAAATAAAAATAAGTTACTAGTAAGAGGTCATAAAAAAACAAATCAGAGGAAAAAAAAAAAAGCAAAAAACCCCCCAAAAGAACAAAAACCCAAACCTGCTGGGATTAATAGAGATTCCTGTATTAGAGACTGATAAATCAATTAAAGGAATAAGAGGAATATAATGCTTTATCACTACAGACAAATTCAGCTTCTAATTTAATTTGAGAATTTACTGGCTCCTGTTTCTGCTCAAGATAATGAAAAATTCATAATCACATTACTGAAATATTCAGTGGACATTTTTTACTGGCAGACACTTGTCAATACCTTTAAAAATCGATTTTGTGTCAAGCAGTCATGAACATATTGTGGATTTGTTAAAAAATAAAAAAGTAACTAAAAGAGGATGTACTTTATTCTGAAGTTGACTATGCATAAACCTCTAGAAATATGGCAGTTCATATACACTTCTTTCCATTAAGTAGGAAATCGATTCATTTGTTTTTCAATTCTTTTGCAGTTTTTAATTTTTAATTTTTATTCTTTTTAAACAGAATGTCTACCAGTGACTTCATATAAATACTAGATGACAGAACACAACGTGTGATATACTCAGGCAGTCACAAATCAATATGCCAGAAACCATTAGCTCTTTAGAATAAGAAAAAAATGATCAAGGTACTCACTACTTATGACCTTCCATGTTTCTTGTTTTCTTCAGACACTTAAATAAAATAAGCAATTACCAGTTAATACAAACATCTTGAAAACATAATTTTCAAGTCACACACTAGAAAACCTCTACCTTTTCACATAGAAAATTACTATGTTATAGCATCTTGTTTATCATGTTACAACACACACTTCTCAATTTGTGGACCAAATGCTTTCCTCATGTAACAAAATTCTCACTTAAATCCATGGCAAACATATTTAAGTGGTGTCAGGGATGTTGCCAATTATTGTATGTTAGCAAATCTTCCAGGCAAAAGCAAATTTACCTGGTATAAATTCAGTGACTTTTGATAAGGCAAGTCAAAATTGTCCATGCTAGGCATCTTCCTCAGTCAAGTTTTTTCCCAAAAGTTTTAGCCACAACACAGTTCAGCTACTTTTTTCACCCATGTCCCACTGAACTATTTTTTAAAAACACTAGCTACATCATGTCTTGAGACATGGGTGTGAAATTTAACCACCAGGTGGTTTTTTTCCTATGAGGGACACCACAGTTCCTAGGGACAGAATATGATTTGTATGCATTTGGACTTTAGATTTTGTAAGTTAGTACCTCCACCTTGGCTACTTAAGTCTCCCACTATACTTTAAGCTGACCAGATGTCATACACATCACTTCCCACCAGTAACTGAGCACACTAATTCCAGGCCAAATTTACAAGCAAAGCCAGACACTCCTTATAAACGACAAGCACCTGGCTTCTCCTCTGCTGCTTTCAGAGGGAACTCCATTCTCTAGCACACAGCCAGGATGCAAATGGAGACACTGCAGTGCGATCACAGAAGAGACCAAAAAGAACTGGTCAGATGGTGCTGCCGGGAAATAGCCTTTGGTAAGACTGGGCACAGAAGGAACACACAGAACAGGTTGCACTAAGACATGAAGCTGGTTGATTGTAAAAACCAGTAATGGAAAAAGCAGCTAGGAAGGTAATGGTGCTGAAACTGAATTTTGGCACTAATCTCAGCAAGAGAGAAAAGGGGCTGCAACAGGGAGATGTGACACTGCAAACCTACCTAGCACAGTGCTGCTTACAGACAGTACAGTTGGCACTGCAGCGGCAAAGGGAGTAGAACAGATTGCAGGAACCCGAACAAGGGAATGCAAACAACCTGGGTGCTTCCTGCAGCTGTGAAGCACAAGCACTTCCATTTGGAGCCAAATGGAGCCAAATCCCAGATTTACGATTCTAACCTCTCTGCTGTCAGTACCTGTGAAACTTCCTGGCAAAGTTCCATGAGAAGCTGCAAAATTATATCAGAGCTGGAAATTTTCCTGAATTGGAATTTTTGTGAAGTGTTCATAAGCACTGCAGGAGAGATCATGAGAAAATTCATAACTCTGTCTTCAGAACAGAGTTGAAATGTAAAGGCCAACAGTCAAACAACAAAGAGGAAGAAAGGACTGCTTCAGACTGCTGCTTGCGTTATAGAATCAAATAATGGTTTGGGTTGGAAGAGACCTTAAAGATTATCTAGTTCCAACCCCCTGTCATGAGCAGGGACACCTTCCACTAGACCCGGTTGCTCAAAACCTCATCCAACCTGGCCTTAAACACTTCCAGGGAGGAGGCATCCACAATTTCTCTGGGCAACCTGTTCCAGTGTCTGACCACCCTCACAGTGAAGAACTTCTTCCTAATATCTAATCTAAACCTACCCTCTTTCAGCTTAAAGCCATTAAAGCACCATTGAGTCAGAATGGACAGCATTGGTCATGCCTTTACTGTAGTTTCTAGCACCATAAAGCACAGGCAACATTAAGTCCAGTTTCCTAACACCTTAATGCTTGACTTCACTGTTTCAATACCAGTCCTCCTTAAGTCAACTGTGGGTGTGTGCTAGTGAGATAAAACGCAGTATTTTTCTTGTATACACATCCATGACTCAGTTATTCAGCAGCACACTTGGTTTGACTGGAAGCATAGAACAATCTATCTAGATGGAATAACATGCATATTACGTAGAACGAAGTGTAAACAACCAGCATGGGGAACAGGTCTAAGGCACTAACCTTATACACTGTACATGTCCACTTGACTCTCTTGGAAACCAGTGTCCCTAAAAAAAATAAATAAAAAAAAAATCAGGGTCATGATGAGACAGTTCACATTTGCAAGCATAGCTCAGACTCTTTCTTCCTAAACATATACCTTCCTTATATTTTGACTCTGGGATCTTCTTAGTTATACTCCTTTGAGTCCTACATAGCACCCCTATGGCCTTAAGATATCATTTGTGGGGATTTTTTTGTACAAAGCGAGGACTGCATCGCAGCTATTAGGACAGTGTTTTCCTGGTATGAAACTGAGGACATGTATTCCCTGTCCTGCTGTGTGACATGATGGCATTTGAGGTGTTTGAGGCTACAAGACCTGCTGAGATCGTATTGTATGGCCAATTAGCATAGAAGCAAACAGAAGTGGAGTCTTACCTACACTGCCTGCTGGAAATGGTTCTTGGCATGTGGTGTCACTCAAAACATGCCAGAATAAAGTTCACAGAGAGTTCTAGGTGTTATAGAGAAAAAACCATGCCAGGGAGATTGCCGCAATTAAATAGTGGGAACAAGTAGCAGCCCAGTGCTCAAGCTCCATCCCTGGGCCTGTTTTATTTCCAACACAGAGCTAGCTTTTAGTGCTAAATGAGAATTCAGTTTGTACAAGGACACCTTAGTAAGCACTGGCATTGAGAAAACAGAACTGTGGTTGCTCAAAAAGAACTAGATTACTTTTGATGAGGCTTGCAGTATTTCACCTGTAATTTCCATCAAGAAATGTTCCTGGATCCCATTCATTCCAGATGCTGTTCAAGGAACTTTCATAAAGGAACCAGTTATGCCTCAGAAGAGCCAGCTGAGTTTCACCTTTCTCAGTGACAGAGAACACTGTAAAACCTGGATGTCCACTACTATTACACCATTCTTTTAGCTGCTAATTTAGACCACATATGTGTGCTTGGTTTGGGTCCCACTGATCTCAACAGTACTCTAACTGATTTCCATTCACACAGACTTTTTTATAGTTAGAAACACTTGTGTAATATTTGCAGCACTGCAAACTAATTAATATTTCATGTTTCAGCATCACAGTTAAGCTCTACTGAAATGGAAACAGAATATATAAACTTAGATATTAAAATCAGAAACAAAGGTAGAGGAACATAATAAAGGAATATTTATTTGAGCTGGATGTAGTTGATGTGCTATTACAGGAATTCTCATGTTTGTATCTGAGTTCTACTGTGAATGTATCAATTTTTAGCTTGTAATGTTAGGATTTTATTTTTAAGAAACATCCAGTCTTACTAGATAGGTCATATCCTTAAATGAGTTTTCAGGAGCAGCTCAAGGACAACTCTGTGATCTTTGAGGTCAGCTTCCTCAAAGCACATGAACAGGCCATTTCTATGGGCAGAAAGTTGAGCACCTGTGGCAGAAGGCCAGAATAGATTAATTTTAATGAAATGAAATGCGAAACTAATGCACATAGAAGATGGAGGCAGGGACAAGTTACTCAGGAGAATGCAAAAACACTGCCTAAGTATGCAGGGATAGAGTTAGGAAAGCCAAAGCCACGTTGGGTTCAATCTAGCAAGGACAACAAGAAGTGCTCTGTAAAAACAGTGGCAGCAAAAAGCAGGCTAAAGAAGACACAGGTCCACAGCGTAACAGAATATAGAAAAGAAGTAGTACGTTTTTGCCTTGGTTTTCACTGGAAGGTCTGCCCTGTGGCTCTCCAGTTGAGGTGAGGCAGCTTGTTCAAGAGTCTTTAGTATTTCTCAAGATATTAAAGACTCTATTGGACATGGCCCTGAGTAACCTGGGCCTGGTTGAGCAGGAGGCTGGACTATGTCATTTCCAGTGCTCCCTTCCAACCTATGCGATTCTGTAAAAATTTGTACAACATAAACCAAGATTGGAGAGCGGCAAGTTTGCTGCTACTGTTAGTTTAATACAGAAGACTTTCCACAGAAATGTTGTAAAAGGACAGGGGAGTAACACTGCACCATGACCACTGTGGCTGCACCCACACCCACACACACAGTATAGCATGTTTTCTTTCTGAGAGTTCTCTACAATATTTTAATCTTTTAGTCATATTGTTTACTTTCATTCATAGCTGAAACTTTTAACATTAAGAGTTTTCATTCTTCAGATATGGCGACATGTACAATGCAAATTGTCCCTGCAGTCATTTAACAGGGCCATAATTTATTTTTACAATCTCTAACTTCCTGGGTTGTTACTATCTATTCCAAAACGAGGAAGCTAAGAGAGTTAAGATATTGGTTCAGCTGTAACGAAGGACATTATTCAAAGTCTCTGGGATAGCTGAAAGCACTGTGGTTTTTTTTTTAAGGAAATCCCAAAGTCATAAGTCTAGACACAAAAAGCAAGAGATGTTAATAAAAGGGGACTAAAAACAGCCCAGGGAAGGAACCGGCAATTAAAAGGAACATTTCGTAACCATGTAACAAAGAATCCCTACAGTCATGAAATGCTGGCCCTGAGGTATCACAGAATGTTAGGGACTGGAAGGGACCTCGAAAGATCATCTAGTCCAGACAACAAGGCATGAGCACGTAACCTTTGACTTCCTTAGGTTTTGAACTGTTACACTTCTGAAGAACGAGCATGAATGTCCTCAGCAGAAGTAACAAGAGAGTTACTCTTTGCCAAAGCTGACTACAATGGCAGCACGTGACACTGACTAGAGTCCACCAACACCTCTGCCGAAAACTGCAAACTTAAAATTAACCCGTGTTATCATACAGCTTTATATATAAAAACAAACTTAATTTACCACAAGGAGCTGATATAAGAGACTTTTTTTCTTTTTTCTTCACAGTGTGTTACGACTAAACAAAGAAAAGTTTCAATAAATAATATTATGCTGACACTGATTAAAAAAATAATATTCACCACCCCATTGGAAAGCATTTGCATTGGAAAGTTTCCATCATCTTTGATGATAAAGACTTATGC